ATTCGGCCAGTCCCATATAGTCGATCACCTTCGTCTGCCATTCTTCCAGTGTGGGTAGTTGTTGTGTCTTCCAATACTTTGCTAGAAGAATCCTTGCTGCTGTTGTCGCATACATAAAAAACGTCCTGTCCTTCCTTCTCACCAATTGGCCGACAATGCCCAAGAGAAAAGCCTCTGGTTTTTTGTGGAAGGTCCATTTAAGAACCTTCTTAATTTCATTATAGATCATTTCCCAAAAAGCTTTTATCCTCGGGCAGGTCCACCAAAGGTGATAAAAAGTACCTTCAGTCTCATTACATTTCCAACATTTGTTATTGGGCAGATGATAAATTTTTGCAAGCTTGACTGGGGTCATGTACCACCTATACATCATTTTCATAATGTTTTCTCTTAAGGCATTACATGCCGTAAATTTAATACCGGTGGTCCACAACTGTTCCCAGTCAGCAAACATAATGTTATGACCGATATCTTGTGCCCATTTTATCATAGCTGATTTCACCGTTTCATCCTGTGTATTCCATTTCAACAGCAGATTATACATTCTCGACAGATTCTTAGTATTGGGTTCTAACAGTTCTGTTTCCAATTTTGACCTCTCCATCTGGAAACCTATTTTCCTGTCCTGTTTAAATGTCTCGTTTATCTGAAGGTAGTGCAACCAATCTCGCACTTTGGACTTTAATTTCTCATAGCTCTGTAATTTAACTTTTCCCCATCTTGTTCTAGAATTTCACAATATTTTGGCCATTTAGACTCCATATTAAGTTTTTTCACCTCTTTAGCTTCCATTGGTGACAACCACCTGGGAGTTTTACTTTCCAATAGATCTTTATACCGCATCCAAACATTGTATAATGCTTTCCTAACAATATGGTTTTTGAAACCTTTATGCTGTTTTACCTTATCATACCATATATATGCATGCCAACCAAATCTATTATCAAACCCTTCTAGATCCAAAATATCTGTATTCTCAAGAAGTAGCCACTGTTTCAACCAGCAGAAAGCCGCCGATTCATAGTAGAGTCTTAAGTCCGGCAGGGCAAACCCCCCTCTATCTTTAGCATCAGTTAGATTCTTAAATTTTATTCTGGGCTTTTGCCCTGCCAGACAAATTTAGATATATCTTTCTGCCACTTCTTGAAACAGTCCATCTTGTCCAAAATCTGCAATGTCTGAAATAAAAACAACATTCTAGGCAATACATTCATCTTGATAACAGCAATTCGGCCTAACAAAGAAAGTTTCAACCTTGACCATATTTCTAGATCCTTCTTTACCTCTGTCCAACATTTATCATAATTGTCCTTAAATAAATTCACATTCTTAGATGTTAAGTTTACCCCCAGGTACTTTACTTTTTTCGTTATCACTAGTCCTGTATCATTCTGAAACTTCTCTTTTTCGGCCAATGTTAAATTTTTATCCAACACTTTCGTTTTCTGTTTGTTCAGTTTAAATCCTGCTACTTGACCAAATATCTCAATTAGTTCTAATACTCTTTTAGTACTAGTATCTGGCTGTTGCAAGGTCAATACTAGGTCATCTGCAAATGCCCTTAACTTGTACTGTTTGGCTCCGACTTGTACTCCTTTAACCAACTGGTCTCCTCTAATCATATTTAACAAAACCTCCAGGACTAATATAAACAATAGAGGGGATATTGGGCACCCCTGTCGTGTACCTTTTCTATAGGTATTTCTTCCGTTACCACATTGTTTACAATTAACTTTGCTTTTTGTTTAGAGTATATTGCACCTATACCATTTTCAAACCCTTGACCTACCCCCATCCCTTGGAGATTCTTCTTCATAAAACTCCAACCAATATTGTCAAAGGCTTTCTCCGCGTCCACAAAAATTAAAACAGCCTTCCTATTAATGTCCACTTCTAACAGTTCCAAAATGTCTATAATGTTCCTCACATTGTCCGACATATATCTCCCTGGAAGAAAGCCAGTTTGGTCTTTATGAATCTCCCCTACCAACACTCTCTTCAGTCTTTTTGCCATAATGTCCGCAAAAATTTTGTAATCCACATTAAGTAATGATATAGGGCGGTAGTTTTTAACCTGGTTCTTTTCAGTCTCAGTTTTCGGTATAAGTGAGATAAAAGCTTCTTTCAAAGACTCTGGTGCCTTTTTCCTCCAAAATTTCGTTACATACTTCCTTCAGTGGTTGTACTAACCATTCCTTCAACACTTTATAGTATCTGGCGGTCAAACCATCTGGTCCTGGAGCTTTTCCCAATTGCATCTTCTGAATGGCACCCTCTATTTCTTGTCCTGTTATTTTCTCATTCAAAATCCTTCTGCTTTGCTCTGAAATTTTTGGTAATCCATGTTTCTTAACAAATTCTTCTATTTCCTGTTCATTAACTGGCCCTTGTGCATATAATTTCCTGAAATAACCTTGAAAACAATTACTTATCTCATTTGGTTTGTGGATAATCTTTCCGTCCACTTCTAAACTTGTCACAGTGTTCAATTTTTGCCTCTTTTTCAATTGCCATGACAGAAATTTCCCACATTTATCTGCTGATTCAAATGTCTTTTGTCTCATTTGCTTTATTTTCCATTCTATCTCTTGATTCATCAATTCCATATATTGCACCTGATAGTACTTTATTTCTTTCAGAATCTCATGAGACTTTGGTTTAGACCTCAATTTCTTTTCACCTTCTTTTATTTTTTCCAGAATTTTTCCTTTCCTTTCATTTTGATTTTTCCTTTTTATGGAGTTCTGTTGTATTAGGAAACCTCGCATCACGGCCTTACTTGCGTCCCAAATTATTCTTTTTCCACTTCTGTTCTCAAATTTATCTCAAAATAATCTTTCACTGTTTTTTGGGCCTTCTTATAAATCTCTTCATCTCTGAATAGGGTGTCATTCATTCTCCATCTGAAGGATCCAGTTGTTGTAAGTTTCATCTCCATCTTTACAGCATTATGGTCGGAGCAAGTCTTTGAGCAGATTTCTACCTTTTTAATCCTTGGCGCCATACTGCTAGTTACCCAAATTTGGTCAATTCTTGTCCATGTCATTTTTGCTTCAGAGAAAAAGTTCCCTCTCTCTAAAGAGGGTTCCTTGATCTCCAAATGTCAATCAAGTCCATAGTTTCAGTCATTTCAAAGAAAGTCTATGGTAGTCTCCTTCCTTGGAAATTACTTGTCTCTGTGCTTTGTCCATATTTGTGGAAACTACGCCATTCATGTCTCCCATCATTATAATTCTGTAGTCTAAATAGTCCATTAAAGTCTCATGCAACTTCTTAAAGAATTCCGCCTTCCCATCATTTGGTGCATAGATTCCAACTATCAAAATTTTTTCTCCTTGAACTTGTATTTCAATTGCCAGGTATCTTCCTTGTTCATCTTTAAATATCATCTTTGGAGCCAATTTTTCTTTTGCATAGATCACCACGCCTCTTTTCTTAACTTTATCTGATGAAATAAATTCTTGTCCAAGTCTCTTATTAACCAATAATTTCCGATGTGTCCTGGTCACATGAGTCTCTTGTAGGCATATTAGATCTAATTGTTCTCTTTTCAAAATATGAAAAACTTGGCGTCTTTTTCGGGGAAGGTTCAAACCATTACAGTTCCAGCTAAGAAGTTGCAGAGACATTTTGTTATTAAGTACCTGTTCCTCCGACTGCTCCTAGCTTTTGTTCCTCTTCAAATGATGGTATGAGTCCAAATGACAAGTTTGCAATGTCTGTCACTCCTTTTTCTTGTATTGTTGTTTCTACTGTTCCTTTCTGCAAGTCCTCCTGATACCTCTCCAGAAACTGTTCTTTATCTTGAACTGTTCTTATTTTAACCTTCCTTCCTTTGAAAGTAAAAGACAATCCTTGTGGAAACTCCCACCTGAAGGGTATGATGTTTTTCTTCAGCAGGTAGACCAAATCTTTATAGAAGGCTCTCACCTCCAAAATATATTTAGGGATATCTTTAAAAATTTGTACTTGACTATTTTCAATCTCCAATGCCTTTTGATAATGCAAATTCAATATCTTATCTCTTTCTCCTTTGGATCTCAATGTGATCAAACAATCCCTTGGCTTCTTACCCTGCCTCCTGCCGAGCCGGAAAGCTGTTGTTATTTCAAGTTCTTCTTCCTGCAGCTCCTCTTGCCAGAATTCCATAAAGTTCTGTGTAAGAAAATCCACAAGGCTGTCTCCCTCACTCTCGGGAACCAATCTCAATTTCAAATTTCTCTCTTTCTCTGTAGTTCCAACAAAGATAGAGCTGCATCATGTTCATTCACTTTTTTGTAATCGGCACAAGCTCCTGCCTTGTCTCCTCCGCAGTATATTTTGCACTTTCAGCAATCTTTCGAGTTTCAGAACTTTCTTGAATTATTTTATTAATAGATTCTGTATTAGATGTTACACTTGCAGTATTCAAGTCCAATCATGCTGTCAGTTCTGTCAATTTTAATGAATTTTCCGTAGATAGCTTTGTCAGTGCTTCTAAAGATTGGTTTATTTTGAGCAGTGCCTGTGTCATTGAATCCATAGATGCTGTTGCCACTTTTTCCTGTGCAGCTGGTGGTACGCCGGGTATTGAGCCCCTTTTCTTTTGTGTCTGTTTTGCTTTGGATCTAGTTGTTATCTCTTCTACTGGGCCACTCATATCCTCAAGGTCGTTCTCACAGGAAAAACTTGCAAGTGGAAAATCCCACTGTGTCTTTTTCACTGTAACAGTTTCTCTTTATAGCCTCTAGAGGGAGCATTTAATTGTATCCAAGTGAAAAGAGACACACAAGGAAGCACAGAGCAATCAACAAAAAAAGTCCAAGAGTCCACAGTGAAAGTTTCTGTCGCACTTTTTTCAGTAAATCACAAGTTCAACAAAGTAATTCCATTAAAGTCCCGTAACTTTGTCTCAGACAAGACCCCAACTTTGTATCCAGTCTAAACTGACAGTTCACTTTGCCGGTGCCTTACTCAGGCAGTCCGTCCTGGGGGTTTGGCAATGGAAGATGTTTTTTTTCCCTCATTTAATTTCAAGCAGGTTAACAGTGTCCAATTTTCTTCCCCCTCTCCTGCTTACTGGGGGGGAGGTTTAAGTCAAATGTCAGGTTTGACAGCTTAAAGGTAATTTTCTTTCAAATGCAGCTTTACTCTTTCGTTGCTTTACTTGCCATGCAGATCGGGGAGGCAGACTTCCTTAATTTATGCCTTTCCCGTTTTCAGCCAAATTTCAAGATTTAAATTTAAATGTCCCTTTCAGTCCCTCCGTCTTACTCACGGGCTTTAGAGTCGAATTTCTGGTTCAGGAAGGAATCGGCGCTCTCCGCTCATGGCGACGCGGCTTCACTCCACGGGCTGGGTTGCGACTCTCAGCACCGCGCTCACCCCCGATGCCGCTCCGTAGCCTTTAAAAAGGCTCTTTCACAGTACCGGGGGGCGCAAAAGGTGCCCACCGAGTCTCCTTGTTCACAGGCTTCCGCGCCTGTGATTTTAGGGGTCCCCCGCTCGCCGTAGCAGGTCAGACCCGAACTCGCGGAGCAGTCCTCCTCCGGAGCTCGAAGGGAGGACCGCCATTAAGCGCTGGCGCCGACCGGAAGTCAGGGATTTCCTTAAGAATGGAGAGGTTTGATCTTCTTGCAGTCCATGGGACTCTCAAGAGTCTCCTCCAGCACCATCATTCAAAAGCATCAATTCTTTGGATAGCCAAATATCTGAAGGTCTGTCACATGGAACAAGCTTGTTTTCTCCTGCTCCAGAGGGTAGGACTTGAACCAATGGATTCAAATTACAAGAAAGGAGATTCTGACTAAACATTAGAAATAACTTTTTTGACAGCTGTTTGACAGGGGAACTGGATATGTCATGGGACATCTGTCAGGGAGCCTTTAGCTGTGATAACCTGCATTGCAGGGGGTTGGACTAGATGACCCTTGGGGTCCCTTTGAATTCTATAATTCTATGATCTCAGCAGCCACAGGTTCCTCACTCCTGCTGTATGATATGAAGGGCATGTATGATGTCACACTGGTGCTATCGGATCACTATTGTAGATATAGCCAACAATTATATTAGAGGTGTTGGTGGTGGGGCAGCCTTTGATTAGTGTGGGAAAGAGTTCGGGGAATTTCAAGTGCATTTGTCTGGACTTTGGCTAATTAGGTCACCATGACCATCTTCCACCATGCAAAGTCAGGGCTCAGAAAAGAGGTTGCCTTTGGACATAAGCCTTGCAATGTAAATCTGTATCCTTGATTATGACATGCAGTTTGGAAATCCTTGACAGAATACCAGGCTTTTACTTCACTCTTCTTGCCTAACTGATTTCAGCTGTTCATAACAGTTTTGAATGGCATGTGATGATGGCATAAAACTCAACTTAAAAGTGTAGCATGGAAAAGAGCAGCCAGCTCCAGCAGTGATAAGTTGAAATGTGTTTTGCAGAACTGGCTCCCGCAGTTTTCAAAAGCTGACAACAGAAGGGAAAAAATAATAACATTTGAGAGAGGGATGGGTGAATCTGTCAATTTCTGATTCTTTCATATTCTTGTTTTTCCATTTTTAAGCTTAGTTCTCCCCGTTTCCACTTGAGTTCACAAAAACTTTTTTTTAAAAGTCCTCGTGGAAGTTCATCAGCAATTTCAGTGTGATTTTTTTCCTAATATCCACATTTTTAATACAATTTGCCCAGCATACACATTTTTGTAAGCAATTTCTCCTAATATAATGCATTGTGTGTGTGCTCTTTTCACCAGTATATGCATTTTAATGCACATTTACATTTAATTTACATTTTACTGTAGCAAATGCATTGTTGGCAAAATTTCAGAAGTGCAAATTTCAAAGAATGAATGTGTTTTGGTCCTCATAAAGTTCCAGGTGGTGTGAATTAGGTAGGTTTACCTTTAAATGTGAAGTGAGCTAAACTTCTCCCCCATCTCTTGTTTGGAGAAGGCAGAGACCTGCAATGGGAGCTGGGGCTTCTTCTTTTTGACAGGAACCTGTTTCTCATTTACAAAATGGAAAGTGCTGGGATTCATTCCCCCTGCCCCCAAAGCCATGCCTTCTGACCTAGAGATCTGTATATACCCCCAGCCCCTGCTTTATTGGAGATATTGAATGCCTTGGTATTGATGGGAAATCACTCTGCATATCCTCAGAGGCACTTGTGTTATATCAATACAACATTCCAAGGCTGAACCTTGATCCTAAAAATGTAGCTCATTAGCAAACTGTGGCTCAAATCAATCCCCGATAGTGATTTGTGGTAGCAGGAATATATGCCAGAGGTTTTTGCTTTTGTCTTAAGGGTACTTCAAAAATTGTTCCCAACAGAAATCTATATATTCTCCCCTGATATCTATAATATGATTAATGGAACTGACGTTCAAGAGAGCAGGTTCCCTGGGGGAAACTGTTTCCAGGAGAAGAGCTCCCAGTCTTACATTTTTAAATGTAATTTTTGTATCCTTTTTTTTTTTTAACTGAGAGCTGCACCACAAGATTCAGACAAGTGCAAAATCTGAAGGACGGATGTTATGAAACCCACACATTAGTCTGAGAGGTGCGGACCAGGTCAGTTCAAATGGAAATTCATGAAGAACAAATCCCCAACTCTCAAAAATAAAAGCCCATATATGTGGGGATCCCTGTGGTGAGGGAACGGTACTCAAAACATTTCATATATGTATTTAACCAAATTTGTATACTGTTTGGTTGCAATAAAACCTCAAAGCAGTTAATAAAGAACATGCTATGGGGCATTGTTCGCTTTTAAAAAAACTTTGTGTACCTCCCAACTGAACCCTGGCCTTCTGAACTGAACTCCCAGGGTTGAGCCCTCGCTTCCATTAAGGTTTAGTTGCTGGCTAGATAATACTTCGGAGAGCAGAATACTTTTTGTGTGTTTATTTCCCATCATCTGTGCAGTTGTCCCCCCCCCCCTTCAAAATATGCGCTGCGCCAGATAGAGATGTCTCCTCAATACTCGTGATGGATGGCTAACCCAAATTACTTTGAGGCATCTGAGTTTTCAAGAACTTCCATTAAGTTACCTCATTTCTTGCCTGTTTGTTCTGCAAGGCAACCCTGGGCAATAAGGCGAAGATTCCTGATCTTCGTAAACATGTCCTAGAGATAAAAAAAAAGAAATTGTTTCAAAATGCTGCACCCTCATTTCCTCTGTATCTCCACATGCAATTTCCTCCTTGCCAGGCTTTGAATTCAGTAAACTCTCAGATGTGATTTTCCAAAACTCAAGCCCCTTCTTTTTAAAAGCTTTTAATCATAGCTGCCAAAGACTCATCCCCCGAGGCTGCAATCCTGTACACCAGTGGTTCCCAATTAGCTAAGTTCTGTGGATCCCCTGTTTTTCAAAAGCCAAGCCATGGACCCCCTTCTTTTGAAAATGATGATATCTCTGTAGTAGTTTATGTTGTGTGAATGGTGCCACCATATACCCTCCAACATGTCCCAGCACAAAATCAGGACGTGCATTTTCTGGGCCACAGTCTCACTTGATTCACATGACCCGAAAAATGGGATGGTCTGGACAGTTGATGGGTATGTGCCATGGGCCCTTTGGGGTCCATGATCCACCAGGTGGTAACAGCTGCTGTATGCACTTACCTGGGAATATTCCATTGCATTCAATGGACTTACCTCTGTGTGCACATCTATAAGACTACACTGTCAATCAGAGGGTTCTTCTACTAGGCCATCATGGGAAAGTAAATGGCAGCTTTCAATGCAGCTACGAGTAGTTACTATATTCTTGGGAGCCATCCTGTTCTCCAGATTTCCAGGTTTAGGGACCGTATGTGCATTATGCTGCGCAAATCAACCTCCATGTGAATCACTAGGCTCTGTAATAAACTTAAAGCATTCAATACTCAGTAGTGGCTGGTGCCCATTTGACCTGGAGAGGGAGAAGGCAGGGAGCCTAAACAGTAGGTGGAGCCAGAGCTATTGACCATCAGAGCTGACTATAGATTTATCTTCATTCTCCTCCCTGCTGCATTCTACAAGGGCAACACTGAGACTGAGGAGGAGGAAGCTGAGAGCCACAGACATCTTCTGGGCTAGTTGAAAGTAAGAAGGCAGGCAGCTGGGGATGGCTGAGGTGTTGGTGGGGCAGTGCACTTTTGCCCCAAAAGGCAAGCCTTCGCTGTTGCTATCTATGAAGTTAGCATCCTTTTTTTGATCTGTTTAAAAGGTAAAGGTAAAACGACCCCTGACCATTAGGTCCAGTCGTGACCGACTCTGGGGTTGTGGCACTCATCTCGCTTTATTGTCCGAGGGAGCCGGCGTACAGCTTCCGGGTCATGTGGCCAGCATGACTAAGCCGCTTCTAGCAAAGCAGAGCAGCGCATGGAAATGCCATTTACCTTCCCGCCAGAGTGGTACCTATTTATCTACTTGCACTTTGACGTGCTTTCAAACTGCTAGGTTGGCAGGAGCAGGGACTGAGCAACGGGAGCTCACCCCGTCGCGGGGATTTGAACCGCCGACCTTCTGATTGGCAAGCCCTAGGCTCTGTGGTTTAACCCACAGCGCCACCCACATCCCTTTTTTTATCTGTTTACAGCCCACTTTTCTATTCATAGCAGCAACCAATTGGGAGGAACCTCCCCCAACCTACAACAGGGGTGGGGAAGAGATCAGGCAGGTTGGATCCTGAGCTCCTATATCCTCCAAGGGCTGCCTTCTAGGTTTTGCTAAACCTGTTGTTGTTGTTGTTTTATTTATACCCCACCCATCTGCTGGGTTTCCCCAGCCACTCTGGGTGGCTTCCAGCACATATAAAAACATAATAAAATGTCAACCATTAAAAACTTCCAAGCACAGCTCCATTCTGGCATTTGGAGGTGGTGGTGGTGAGGAATTTCCCAAAGGCGGCAGCGGCAAAGGCTCATCCATCAGATCTGTGACTTGCAACATGCAGCTGAACCTGGTGCGCAACACCCTTCCCAATGTTTTCTGGGGGCTGGGCTGGAAGAAGGCCTGGGAATGTGTTGCATCGCATAACACAGGATGGGGAGCTTTTCCCAGCTGGCGTGCCAGATGTTGGTTTTCCCCAACTCCACCAGGCCACTCTGGCCAGTGGGTTGGGGTGCCCACTTGTCCATTGCCTTACACAACCATGGCAGCAGGTGAGCTCAAAGGAAGATCCAAGGCAATCTGAGCAGGGCTTGAAGTCACTGCCCATCAGCTGATTGGCAAGCCCTGCTTTCAGGACTGCAAGCCCTGCTTGCACTCGGCAGTCCCTCTTTAGTGTAACTGATCCCAGCAGGCTTGAGGTCACTGCCCATCAGCACCGACTGCAGGCCCTGGACTGGGGTCAGCTGCACTACAGAGTTTCCCATTGGGAACGCCAAAGCATGGCCGATCCCAGTAGACTTGCTGCCACCGCTGATCAGCTGATGAGCCGTGATAGCAAGTCTCCCTTGCCAAGGAATCACCAGGAGTGCCCTTTAAGTTCCCATTGGCACCAGTGGAAGCCTCCCATCAGACCAATAGCAACTTCATGGAGGGAGTGATTTTCAGCAAGATAATGATGCATAGGGAAAGGATGCCCCATCACAACCCTATTCACCACTCCCTC